TATTATCATCACCCCTGCTACTGCTGTCTTCCCCCCCGCAGCATTTTTCACATTTTCTTGTATCACGGTTAGATTTTGATCACTTCCCGGAGAAGAAGAATCAGGTGTAGGCGGGAGAGGAGGGTAAAGAGGGACAGGTGAAGTAGGATTCAGTGCAATAGGGTTAGGTGAAATGGGATTGGGTGAAGTGGGGGCAGATGAAATAGAATCAGGTTCTTTTGGTTCCGCTAAAGCCATTTGTAAATCAACATCCATATCGTTCCCCCAATGCAAACTTTCTTTTAATGACAGGTACTCTAAACAACTCTTTCCTTTTACACAAACCTCACATTTATCACTCATACGTGCCTTAGCTGCCATCAATCCACACTCAGCCTGCCATTCCGGCTTGTCATGCAAATAAAAGAACAAATCAACATACAGAACTTCATCCCACTTTCCCTCTGGCTTACGGAACAACATCAACTGTAAAATGGTGTTATACTGCAAAGATCCATTTCTCGGCCTCTTTTCCCCACTGTTCAGGTCATATCCTGGCCACCATCTATTACAATAATCAGTCAACTTTGCGTAAATCTTGCCCAAAATTACCCTCTTTTCAATGTGCTAATAAGCACCCCAAAGGAGAAGTACGTGCTATAGGGGCATTGCCACCTCAAATCCCTTTAAGCTTCTCCATATTACAGTTACAATACACCACACACCACTGATGAGGAACCCTCAACGCTTTCGCACTTGTCTGACAGACGGCGCCCAGGCAATACCAGGAATTCTTCTAGCCCAACCATGCAAAGCTTTCACTGCATCTTATTGGCAAGCACCAGAGCAGACTGAAAAGCACCTTACCTCTCAGAGGGATGTCGTGAGTGGCGGAGACGGTTGCGGCCGGATGGGCTCCCTGAGAATCCCTCGGTGCCGGCTGGAGCGTGATAGGGTCATGAGCTCGCTCAGCAGCACTCACAGGGTCCCACTTGGGTCCAAATGCTAACCAAAATGTTAGCATTCATTATGATTACATGCAGGTGCTCTTTATTGAAGCGTGCGGGAACTAGGGGTCTCAGCAACCCAAATCTAGCTGCATCGTCTTTGTCCAAAGTGCACATATTTATACAATTTCAGCTGTAGCAGTAATCACTATAACAATCTTATTAATATTGCTTCATTAACATTGCTTCATTAACTTTATCAATATTGCTTCATAGAGTTAGCTCATCTTTGTACGAACATGTACGAATCTTATCTCTGAGTATCTTAGAGAGCCCAAGTACCAGTTCCCATTACCATAAACATTTTAGCTTGCTAAACTATCCCTAATAGCAAGCATTCTTGTGGCCTACTTCTACATGATTTTCAGAAACATTTAACCCCCATAGTAACACCAGTACAACCTTTATATCCCTCCTTCTGTCTGTGATAGGTCCATTCTTGATCCTCTCCCTGAGTGTCTTGTTTCTAGGGTTCTCATTGGTCCTTATCAAGGCGCATTCCAGACCAATCATTTCTCCTGGGCGTAGAGTGATTGGCTAACCCTTTCACCAATTGCTGTCCGAGGCATGGATGTCAAGCCTATGAAGTCATGTTCTGGAATGTTCCCTCGGTTTACTGAATCCTCCATGACATAAAACAGCACCCCATTTACTTTAAGTTAACCTTGATTCCATTAACGCATACCCACACCGATTACTAGACTTCACCCCCTTGCCCATAGGGCCACAAACCCACCAACAACAGATACCAACAACCAATTAGGAGCATGTATTAATTAAAAGTCAGCTTATAATTAAACATTAACTATTAACCAACTTGTTATAACCATTGATTTACCAATAACATTGTCACAGTACAGCTGGCCTGGACTGGACAAAGTAAATCTGATCGTAACACAAATCCAATTCAGCTATCCTAATTCATGCCTGAACATGTCCCTGGATAAGTTACAGGGGACCCTCAGCTGGCTCCATTCAAGATGAGAATTAAGCATACCACAGGCCAGGAAGCTGGGCAGGGAGAGAGATCTCAGACAATGGCCGTATAGCATGGGAGATTTTAATTGGATATTTAAGTTATGAATAATAAATGAGGTTGTTTGTTTCATGAGCATCTGGAGCACGAGCTGTGGAGTTTTCATCTCCCTACCCACGACCAGCACCTTATGTTATGAAGAAAAACCATTTTCAAGCAATGTATGTGTTATGATGTAATGTTGGTGTTGTAGTATAATGTTGGTTACAATGTCTACCACAAAGTTAATAATGCTGTTGCTGTTTCTACCCCGATGTTAATTGTATTGAGTTCATCTCTTACCCGAGTGTTCCAATCCCTTCCGGTCGGGTCTCTGCCGCTGCTCCCTGACACGGCGTAGCACCAGCCTCAGTGTGCAAATGAGGTGAAAAGGGTTAGGAGTGCTGAGAGAGCCCCTAGATCAAGCGGACCAGATGAAAGACAGACAAAAGAGCCTCATAACCCAACTGGCAGAGAGACCAGGATGTTCCTAGCCTCAACTCAGAGTCCGCGCCATCATCAGGGAAGAGCTTGACTGGGATGACACCCCTACACAAACAAGTCACGAGAGATCTTCCACGGATTCCTGTGAGGACGGAAGCCCCAGGCCTGTCGAGGGGCAGGACTGAAACACCTCCTTTCTGGCGACCTCGTGGGAGCAGTGGCGGCATGCCACTCCTGAGCCCCCACCCCAGAGCTGATATCTTCATAAAGGCACAAAAAGGACTCAGGTGTCCTGCCCATTCATTTCACCTTACACCCCACTGCAAGAGGAACAAGACTCAACACCCAGGCGATCGAGCTCATGGCCTAAGGCTGAGGGGTAGGGGGCTCCAGTCCCAAAGACAGGGATGGCACTTACCCAGCCCCACAACTTCTGGGCCCACATCTCTGAAAGGCCCAGACCAGGGTTACACACTTGATTACACAGGGTCCCTCCAAACTGAGGGAAATGCTGGCACCTGAGCAACCAGGTGTCACGGACAAGGTAGCTGCCTGAGAGCCTCTGACACCCAATTCCTTAAAGCTTCCCACAGCCCCTCAGGGTCTCCCCCAGCGTGGCCCGACAGCAGCGCCGCAGCCCCACAGGAGCTCCAGAGGAGCTGCATCAAGAGGCACCTGGGAGCCCTCAGCAACCCAGCCAGCACCACACGGGCACGAGGACACAGATGGCGCTTCCTGGCTAGGACAGGGCTTGTGCCTTCAGCAGAACTGCCAAAGGCCAAGGTCTTCTGGTCATTTTCCCTGCACCGCTGCACGCCTGGGCAGCTTGCCGAGCAGAAGCACCCTTTCCCCCGTCTTCCCCCATGCCCTGCAGACCCTGGGCAGCGAAAGAAAGATCCTGGGAGACTGTCTATTATAACATATTATATATTTACATACTACCAAAAAAAACCCAAAATAAAAAGAAAGACAATCTTAAAGAAAATAAAAGAAAAATCCCTGCTGGCTCTGGTGACCCCAGCAGACAGTGGCTCCAAGATCAACTCTCAACAGAACTCCAGCAGCAAAGCCAGGCACTGCTGCTGCACAGACGGGGACGTTTCTTCCATGCCTTGCAGAATTGATCTCGCAGCATCCGAAAGAAGGAGTAGGGAGCTCTCTGTACTGCCCGGAGTACAAACGCTACTTCAATTGCCAGGTTTCTGATGGCAGGGCTGCTATCATCCACCATATTCTCAAGGGCTGGAAGAAAGACAAACAGAGCCACGGGCAGTTCCCAGACCTGCCCGGGCCCACGGAGAGCCCCCTGCCAGGGCCATCCCAGCCGGCTCTTGCCATGGGCAGCAGGGAGCAGGGAGCAGCCCGAAGCTGCTGGCCACGAATGCCCCACGTGCCCCTGAAGTCTCGCTGTGCTCTGCCCACGCTGCCCCTCATCCGCACATCGAGCAGAGCCCTCTGCAGCCTGGCCAGGGATTGCAGCTCCCCGCGCCAGCCCCGCTGACAGCCCGCTGCCCTCACTCACCCTCACAGATGAACTGCAGCTCTTCCTTCTGCCCCCTCATATGCTCCCCGGCCATCCCTGGAAACACAGAGCCTTGTCAGGGCCCCGGCGGCACAGCTCCCTGCCAGCGGCGCTGCCAGCCCTGGGGCCACACGCCCTCCCGCCCCGGCAGGGCTCAGCCCCAGCCCTTGCCGCATCCTGACTCAGCCCAAGGGCACGGCTGCCAGAGGCCGGCAGCAGCCCCGAGGGCAGCCGGGGCTCCAGGACGCCGGGCCCGGGTGCCGCT